GATCCTCCAACGCTCTCGAAGCATTCTGCTTTGCAAATACTCAGCGCTGTAGTATTCTCTAGTTCGTTGGCGGTCCTGTCAGGCTTTCCGTCCGCGATCCACTTGCGACACTCTCTGACCCAGTGGCCTCTCTTCTTGCAATAGTTGCACTGGTCCTTCTTCTTATCCCTGAACGACTTGGAGCTGCCCTGACTCACCGGCAGAGCTTCTGACTTCTCGGCTTCGGCCCCACTCTTGAAGTTCCGCTCGTACATGCATAGTTGAGAGACTAACTCGTCGAAGCCCTTTTCTGAATCCTTCGACAGCAGCATCCAGCTTGAACGGAAATTCTCGTAGCTTGCCGGTAGAATCTGGAGCGTCTTGCAAACTAGCAGCAACTCTGGTAAGGGGCTCTCATTCTTTGCATGAAGGCCGATGTTTAAATCAGTGAACAAATTTGACAACTTTGCCACATGAGTTGACACGTCACAATCCTGCGTCCAACTGAAGGCGAAAAAGTCTGTGCAAATTTTGAACAGTTGATCTTTCGACGATGCCTCGTACAATTTTCTGAGAGCATCCCATGCATCTGCAGCGGTTGCTTTGTCTAGTATCTTCTGGTAAACTTGATCTGTGACCGCGCAGGCTATCATTGACTTGGCGTAACTATTGGCTTTTTCTGTAGAGGGTTGACTTTGCCTTGTGATCCTTAGCCTCTGTCTCTGTCGCATTCTCTTTCAATGGTCCTGGGTCGACCAACTCGCGATCGATGACGTCCAACGCGCCCTCATGATAGTCTAGCAGGTCACGGATCTTTCTCTTCCAAAGCGGCCAATCCACTTCTCCCGTCAGTGGCTTTAGGTGCTTAGCTAGATCCATCTGCGAACTGTGCACTTTCAATGTACAGAAGTCGATTAGCAACGGAAGCGTGCTGGGCCCATAACCTGTTAAGGTGGACACCTAAGAGCTGGGATCTGGGAGCGGAAGAGACGGACTACACACTTCGTCGTTCGGGTGGAAACACTAAGTATATTTTTATCGACATGCTGGGGCTTATATAGATCGGAGAACTTCGTCAGAAACAACAATCCTCAATAAAGGGTGCTGTTTTCCCTTATTTGTTGGCATCGAGATTCCATTTCGTCCTAGGAATATGTATTCTGAATCAATTTGATTTGGGAAAGCCTGGCTGATATCATTTCTTCTGGGCTGATCTCCCTGTTCGACTTGTCCATTGTGTGAGGAGGGCTCCGAGTGCGCTTCTCGACTCTGTCCTTTGCTGGCTGAGCTTCGATGATCAAGCGTTGGATGAAAGCCCAGAATCGGATCGCTTTCAGCCATGAGGAGAATGTGTTCTCGGAAACCATTTCCTCGCTCGGGGTTGCATTTGCCGAACTCGAAACCATACACGTGATGTTCTGGCGTCGTTCGGTGTCAAATATCCGATCGGATGTGTCACCGATTTGGGAATTCGACCGCGATCTCTCGATGAGGAATTCGCGGCGCGTGAATTTGTCGATTATGAAAAGTCTTTCCGACAGTCGGTCAGTCAACGCCGCCATTAAGCTGACCATTCCTAGTTGTTTAGGCGAAATAAGACGAAAAACTGTGAGTCCTTGAGCTTACAGCTGAGTATGACTCAGAGCGTTGAGACGCTTCTGAGATGAGTCACTGAAGCGGGGTTACACCCCGGCTCCGTAGTAGGATAAGACTCTTCCGCTTGTAAGAAAGCGGAGTTCGATCTTAGTAAAGCGTACGTATGTAGGAACGCATGCCCCGTCTCCTGTATATAAGGAGACTTCTCTTCAATAAAATTTACTGTGGTGTCTCCCCTTCGCGAGACTGTACTCCTGAGTTATCACTCGTGCTCCTTGAGTCAGTACGTTTCCCGTCTTCCGACCTCACGCCCTGACACGTTATCAGCACGAATAGCTCTGCTTACCATCGCTGGCGTGACGTCCAAGGAAGATAAGCGAAGGGGTAAGCTGTTCACTTGTACCTCTTGGTATTGGTGGTACGGCAGAATCGGGCTGCGATCTGGCTTCTCTCGGCTAATGCAATGTGCTCCGGAGATTGAGGATACGTTTGAGTTTGTCACGATCCCATCTCATACTCCCCGATTGACAGATATGCCGGGAGATGGAACAAGCGGATCTGGTCCGAAATTCAATCAATTACAAGGTGTGCGACTCATGGACAGTGGAAAGAATTAGACACCGTGGCGGATTTCGGTCCGAGCGCTTCTTGGGGCTGTGACAAATGCACTCGAATTCCCCATCGACCGGAGATTCTCGAGGCATGGCGACAGCATGAAGGGAAAACGATAGTAACGCTGACTAAAGGAGAGAGGGGACAATATCGGCCCCCATTGCGAAATGTGTCTTGTTCAGCATGAATATATACTTCCTGTAACCCCCTGAGTCGCAAATAGAACGTGACCTAGAAGAAGGAAACCCTCTCGAAACCAAACAGTGATTTCGAATCAGAATAAGCTTCAGACACCTCACACTACCTGTGTGGAGATCAGTGTGGGGCGAATTTTCGCCGTGATTATGATTATGATTTTACCGTGTCTGACCAAAACTGGTCAGGTGTTGGGGATGGTTGGAGAGAATTCGAAGGTGACAGGACGCTCCCACAGCGGCACGATTTCACCAGTAGGGAGACTTGAGTTCAGGCACTAACACTCGGATGCAGGATCGAGGAATCACTCGGGCAGAGGTTCCACAAGACAGTACTTTATTCTATGAGATTGGGGTGTTCTTATTCTAGATTCTCGTAGAGAGAAAGGGAAGCCTAAGTTATACCTAGAGCTTCTCGCTGGTTGAAGAGAGCGCACCCCCGTACAGTCTAACAACCCGCGTCTTTCATTTATGCCGGTGCCTGTGCCGATTCCGCAGCTGGGGAGACACCCAGCCGCTTCGGCACCAATCGCCGTACACTTACGGCGCCACGAAGTCCAATCCTGGTCTCGATGCCGACTCAGATGGGATCACTTTGTTCTTACGGTTCATCAGAGTATCCTCCGTTCGAGGATCTCCCAACCGGCTCAGAGATCTTAGGTCTCTCAATAACTACGGCATTTCTTTGATCTCACGAGAGTCCTCCGAGAGAAATCTTTCCGATCAACATGATCGCTCGGAGTTATCGCTATCTAACATATTCCATGCTCAACATACCGTAATCATAATCATCGTCATAATCACAGGAATCACCGTAATCACATGCATTCGTATGATTATAATCATAATCATACGTGTGATTATGATTATAATCACAGATATGCGCATGATTATGGCCGTAATCACACGGTTGCGTATGATTATAATCATAATCACACGTAAGATTATGATTATAATCACAGACATGCGTATGACAACGGCCGTGATCACACGAGTGCGTATGATGTGTCGCATCACGAATGTCACATACGAGTCGTCGTATGCTGTAAAAGAGGGCCAAAATCGGTGCATATTCCCGAATCCATACATATATTTCCAGTAACACAGTGTCCAGCAATGAATGTCGCGCATCGGGGACGGTCACGTGAGGGAGAGGGGAGAGAGGGAGAAAAGATAACAATCACTCACTGGGAGGAAATCATCACGGCAGGCGACTATCACGTTGGGCAACTCCGATCCCAAATCCCTCATCAGTGCACGTGTTCCCTCATCAGTGCACGTGTCCCCTCATCAGCGACCGTGGAGGAGAACCCCGCGTTTTCCTTGACTAGCCAGCAGAGGATTCGTGACAGTTTTGGTGTCAGAAGTGTACGAAACGAAGCTCACGCGTCTCACCGCGAGGCCTAGAGATTCGTCAGGTCAGAGTATCACATCAGAAGCATCTCCAGCCCAATAATATTACGTTCGGTCGAAATTCCCCGTGATCCCCTCCCCGACTAATATTTTGCGGCAGACTCTTCGAACCCGACGATCTCTCCAGTGATACGTTGCCGTCGGATCTACTGAACCATCATCTTCGCCGTCAGAAGCGAGTCGATCTTTCGAATCGACTCCGATCGACGAAATACCTGAATTCGATCACGCCAGTGTTCAGCTACACATGAAGTGCGTCGCTCGCCCTCTTATCGAGAGGGGAGTCATCATGCCCGCAGAAGGCGCGAGTGTCCCGAGGACAGTCAGCTCCCGGGCCCCTCATGGCAGAACCAAGGGGAAAGCATCAGCGGTCATCCCCAAAGTGCTCAAGGAGTCTCCTCAAGACAACGATGGAATAGCAGCACAACTCAAACAACAACGTCAACAAGGTACTGAACCCGGACTCACAGAGATATGTTGTCGCAAATGGGAGCAGGACTCGGAGAGCTTTCTCGGCTAGCCGAGGATAGCCCGCTCTGATCGAGCTCCAAAATTCCTCCAAGCTCTTGATTTTTATCTCCATTGCCAAGGCCCGATCCACGCGAAGTTCGATCAGCTCGTCTTCCAACGTTTCGTCGTCGGAAAACCTTTCCATGTCGAAGGAGAAGGGATTGAGAATCCACTCCTCACCAATCTCCAGATCCCCGGGCGCGAAATATCCGTGGAAAGATTGAGACAGCGAGTCCAGATGTGCCGCAACTTCTGGAACAATCACGGTCGAACTCGTGTCTCCCTCCTCGGCGCAGACTTTTTGCAGAGACGGGAAGTTCGTCAGATTTCCATACTCCACTCGCCGTCGCCAAACAATCAATCTCGTGACGAATGCTTTGAGCTTCTGTTTGGCGATCAGCATATTGGAGTCTCTGCCTTGTAGGGAGATGCTCAAGTCGTTGAGCAAGCCGAAAACATCCGTCAGGTAAGCTAACCTCTGAAGGAACATCGGACCTTCGATGTCCTTCAAGAGACTGCTCTTCTGATCCTTCAGGAATATTTTCACTTCGTCCTGGAGCTCGAAGAAGCGAGACAATGCTTGCCCACGAGAGAGCCAGCGTACGCTAGTGTGGTAGAGCAGAATCGTGTGTTCGCTCTCCATACTTTCACAAAGAGTCTTGAACAGCCGATGATTGAGAGCGCGACCGCGGATGAAGTTGATAACCTTTACAGACAAGTTCAGGACTTCATTCAATTCCGACGGCAACGTTTTTGCTGCCAGAGCATGCCGATGCAGGAAGCAATCGGTGATTTGCAAGCCTGGAATTTCTTGTTTCATTAAAGCACAGAACCCGGATTTGTTACCAAGCATCGCCGGCGCACCGTCCGTACAAATGGATCCGATGATGCCTAAATCCAGGCTCTTACTTTCGAAGAACTCTTTCACGACTCGCCTAACATCCTCCGCGGTGGTCGTTGTATCGAGAGTTCGGCAGAGCAACAAATCTTCTCGTATAGATCCATTCTTTTCATACCTAACGAAAACGAGTAGCTGGCTGCAACTGGAGACATCGGTAGATTCGTCCAACTGTAGGGAGATTTTCGAGGGAGTTTCCTTCAGATCAGTGACAATTTGATCCAAGATATCCTCGCTCATGTCATTTATCCTTTCGCGAACTATGTTGTTCGACATAGGAACTTTCTCGAATTTCTCACGAATCTCTTTTCCGATCAAGGTCTCCGCCATCTGCAAGAACAGTGGCTTAATCAAATTTTCTCCGATGGTATGCGCTTTCTTCTGCTTGGCAATCATGCGAGCAGCTTGATAAGGAGCGGTCAGAATTGGTTTGTCAACCATGCACGATTGACGCTTCATGCTCGGCAGTGTGCCGCGTGAATCAAAGCGGGCTCGCTTGATTCTCAGCGATTCCAAATCGTTGCCTTCAGATTTCTCTCCTCCGTGCTTGAGAAAGTGGGTTTCGAGCTTCGAAGGCTTCAAACTCGTGTTCGCAAAAACGGTACTGCAGAGAATGCATTGAGCCTTCGGTAACAAGTCTTTACCCATCACCAAAGTGAAACCAAATCGTACGTAGTCATCACTCCAGTTCCTCTTCTTCGACATTGTCTCTTCTGTGTTCAGTTCACTCAAAGAGTTTCCAATTGCTCGGTGAGCTGGACAAGAAGCAACACCGGAGACCTTGCAACCACAAAGAGTGAATCGATGACCTTCTTTGGATAAAGCAGCTCTTATAGCAGATCTCGAACTCGAGGATTTCTAATTTATTTGAACGGCTTCCTGGAACTGAGGAACCTTCTCGCGAGGGTGACGGTATTCTTCGAAGGTTCGAGACACTTGTGAACTCGTAAGGTCGCGGTATGTGAAATGCGAAGCGGATGACAGAATAGCTCGAAGGATTCCGAGGTTCGACTTCAAGCAGCTGGATTTTCCCTGGCATTGCTCCCGTCAACATCGTTTTAAGCGTCGGAATGAGGGAACGATATTCCGTCGCCTAAGGCTCCCATATTGGCGGCGAGGAGCGGATTCCTCATTGCGCGGTCCATATGCCTTTCCAAATCGCTCAGTTTTTTTTTTCTCAGGAGGCTTGACTGACCCAGAAAACAAATCTCGCGGCATGACTGGCAAGGTCTTTTCCAAGAACCCCGAGAATACTTCCGAGAATACTTCCCTTTGTGAAACCTCATAGGATAATCATCCGACGTTTCCGGGACCCCCGGTTGGGAACCCCTGCCCTAGGGGTTCCGTAGGGGTTCCGCAGGTAGACTTTGGGGTTCCGCGCAATCCGCCACGGAACCCTCGGGTTCCGTGGAACCCCGTTTGGGAACCTCTGCACTACGCTATGCTCGTGGCGGACACGTGCGGCTACCTGGACGACATGCGAGATTGGATCAACTCCTTCTCGAAAACAACAGCACACGCTGAAAGACGCTCTCGATAAAAAAATCGGAAAAATAGAGTAAACGAGTAAAAAAAAAGTGCGAGTGCGTGCAGAGTAAACACAACTGTCCAACGCACCGAAAAAAACAAAAAAGCCTCATCTACCCAGCTAGGTTTTTTGTCAGTGGATAACATGGCCGAATTCGTAAGCACGTGTGAGCAATGCGTGAGAAACTCCGTAGAAGATGGAGCCGAAAATCGGTGTTGTCTGACCGGACATCTAAGGACAAAACTGGCCGAATCAGTTTTGGCCCTTCAAAGGTCCGACAGTGCTGCCTTACTGGCCCAAATCGAGGCAGAGCACACAAAAAAAGCTCTCGAAGAGAGCAAACTGAAAGCCCTCAATTTGGCAAAAGAAATCTAGGAGCCGCAGTCACAGGTCGCAGCCCTGTGAACCAAACTCGAAGAGGTCGAGGAACGCTCCAAAAAAATTTTGGGCGGGCTTGGTCTGGAACCAAACCTATTCCCACGTGAACCACGTACTGAAGGAAATAGGTTTCGAATTTTGATGGATGACTGAGGATACTCTTCAGTATCGGAGATCGTGAGATGGCACTTCTGGAGCACACCACAGTTGAATAAGAACAGCAGGAGTTGACGAAGCAAATATGACTGAATCCTGTCAGTATTTTATTGAGGGAATCACTGAGTCTTATATACAGCAGAAGAGAAAGGACACATTCTGTATTTTCTGTATAATCTATAAAACCACGTGTCCCCTATATGGAATGTTTTAAATAAGGCCGGGCTAGTGGGTTGTAATACAGCCGAGTAGGCTGAGTAGCTAAGAAAGGCAAGGCAAGAGTGGGAAAGAAACCTTTGATAGAAAATTAGTCAGAAATTCTATCATTCTCTCCCTTTTTCCACTCTTCTATTATCTTGCGGGTTAATTCGACCTTCTTATCTGAAACGGGCAGAAGAAGTAAGTTCATAGGGCATAATTGGCGCTGCTGAACTTCCGGGGAGAAGTTGCAGTTTACCTCCTCAGAGTATATAAGGAGGGGCTGCAGAGCCCCCTCTTTGCGTTTGCCACAGAGACGAAAGTCTCCGGTCGTTCTCAGTCGAGAAAATTCCAGTGCCGAAGGTTGACAGGTTAAACCGCGAGCGTAAGTTTTCTTTGTTTAATCGTTTAACCAAAATCTCAGATTAGATCTTGATCACTGTTATCTGACCCTTCTATCTGATAGCCATGGTAGAAACAGCTGATTTTTCTTATCCCGTGTGGCAGGAAAGATTACGAAGATTTAGCGACCATGTCGGAAAAATCTCTACTGCCCCGAAGCTCAGTCGACCCAAGTGATTCCGGTGTGTATGTCGAGTGCAACTGAATTCTAATTTGTTTTATAGATCCGAAGTTATTCCTTGAGCTTGAAGTGATCATATAATATCTCGATTAGCAGACGATGAAGTACGACCGCTACAGCCAATCAATAATTGGGAAAAGGAACAACGATATCTCCGGGCTCAGGTCGAGCTTTTAAAGGCTGAGGTTGCCAAGCTGTCAACAAAAGTTGACCTT